TTTCAAGTAGGGATTTGCTTATTTTTATTCTGCTCTTCTCAGGTGTGTCAACTAAAATAATCTGAATTCCCGAATATTGTCTTTCCTGATCATGCCCACCTTGCATGGTTATTGAAGGGATTACAGGAGATACGAATCTGCTATTATTGAAGGGGACAGTGAAGAGAGCACGCTTAATAGGTGGTAGGCTGTGCTGTTATAATCTCGGTTGCTGTTATCCTGAAGAAGAGAAGACTTGAGGGGGCTGCTTTCTGTCTTCAAATCATGAGTATTTTTGTTTCCGCCCCGCCCAATCTCATCCCATTGGTTCCACAGATTAGATATTTACATCCAGACTAATTGTTGAGTACATTTCTATTTTGAATTTCATTTGCTATCTTCTGGTACTAACTCCATGATCTCTCCTTTTTCTTTTTTTGTATTTCATTTTTCATTTTGAGAGTAATCTGCAAATTTTGATATTTACTTTCAACATAGATGCACTCAATGTACGTAACTTTCCATTATGCACCAACAAGATGCTGGGGGAAGGGGTGTCTTTATGTGTCTTCTACTCTGAATCCATTTGCAGTCTTTTGTCTCTTTTTCTTAAGGCAATTTCCAAATGCATCCGTGTCTGCTGACGTTTGAAAAGGCTGTAAAATTAAAGCTACACAATTATGAATACTATGAAAAAGGTTTTGACAACTTTTGGTGGCATTTAATTCAAGTTAAACTCCTCTCATTCAAAATAATAAGCATAATGTTACTTATTATGCAAATGAGGTGGCAAGGCAGATGTTTTTCATCCTGGTGCATTCGCTGGGGATTAACACATACAAAAGCTGAGCAGGAGGGGCTGGTGTTCAACCTGGGAACTTGAATAAGGGTTGAGAAGAGGAAGGATGATTACTCGGGAGCTGTGCTATCCAATCATAGAGACACTAGCCACATGAGGTTATTTAAATTTATATCAATTAAAATGAAATAAAATTAAAATTCAGTCACATTAGCCATAATTCATTTGCTCAATAGCCACATACGGCTGCTGGCTACTTAGTGAAGAGCACAGATATAGAACATTTCCATCATTGCAGAAAGGTCTATCAGACAGTGGTGCTAACCACAGAAAGGTTAAAATGGAGGGAAGGATGCTTGCAGATTCCTCTAATCAATATGAACTTTGTCCATAAGGATTCTACAAGGTTCTCAGAACGGGTGTAGATCTATGAAGAGCCAAGAGATGTAGGAGTTAGGATCGGGTTGCTGGTTGATATTCTGTATCTCACAGGAATATGCTACAGTTGTGCTCTTCAAATCTTAAGTACATATATATATATCACTTGGGGATCTTAAAGTGCAGACACTGGTTCAGTAGGCCTGGGGTGGGGCCTGAGAGGCAGCACTCATAATCGCTCCCAGGTGATGCTGATGCTGCTGATCTATGAACCGCGCTTTGGGTAGCATGGTGCTTAAGCCTTTAACAGCAGCTACCTGATTTACAATGGCATCCCCAAAGATGGCTAACTAACCTGACGAAGGAACCTTTAGTCATTGCAGGCTGATGCCAGGGTATATCTCAGAGCCACCTGAAATTGAGTCATTTCACATCAAAATCCTGTTGCAGAAAGCAGAAGCTGCTGTCATGTTACCAAGAAGAAAAAAATGGCTCATCAGAAAATGCTGAATACACTAATTCGAATCTATGATAATTGGGATAGTACTCTAATTTACCTTTCCAGGTACTCCACTTTTGTAGATTAAGGAAGGATTTTTTAACCAGCATAGAAGAAACTGCTGCTCCATGGAAACACCAATTTGCATACATAAAAATTCAGTCTATAGAAATGTTTTTCAACCCTGTCTGCACAATTAGAATCACCTGGGGGAACTTTTAAACATGAACATGAGCGATTTCACCCTCAGGAGATTTTTATTTAATTGATTGGGGGAGGGAATCACTATTTTTGAACACTCCTCAGGTGATTCTAATGTGCAATCATTGAGAATCTTTGATCATAGCCATGGTTCTCAAAGTTGAGCATGCATCAAAATCATGCCTTGCTAAAATCTAGATTGCTAGATCCCACTTCTGGAGTTTCCAATTTGGTAGGTGTGGAATGGGCATTAGAATTTGCATTTCTAACAAGTTCCCAGATGCTGCTGCCCTTGGTCTTCCCAGCACAATTGTGCTCCCTAGCAGAATTGGAGAATCGCTGACTTACAGCACTGATTCTCAATCTTGGCTACATATCGTAATCACCTGGAGAGGTTTAAAAGCTACTGATGTTTGGATCTCACCCTAGATATTTGGATTTAATTTGTCTGGGGAGTAGTCTGTGCATTGAAGATTTTAAAAAGTTCCCCAAGTAATTACAAGTTGAGAACCATTGATAATTATACAGAAAATCTCTTAGGTCCGAGGTCCTGAAGCACTGGCTTCACCTGGATGTTTGTTAGAAATCTAGAGTCTCAGCCCAAACTCAGACCTGCTGAATCATAACGTGCATTTTAACGACATTCTCCAGGTGATTTCATGTACATTAAAAGGTAAGAACTACTATACTGGATAGCCCTTTAAAGTAACAATTTGTTGATCTTTGTATGAATGTGCTTTAAACAAATTCCTTAACGTTATGATTTTTGATAGTTCCTAAAAATATTGGGGCACATAATTTAGTCCAAATTTATTCCAAATTATTGTAGCTTTGTAAGATTGTCATTGTACAGCTGCAAACTTGTCAGTTTCTGCTTCCATCATAACAGAAGACATCAGTAATCTCAGCAGAAAGAAACTGTGCTGAGATTCGTAGAAGGTCAAGAGCAACCAAGTTTTTTAGGAACTAGTTCCACATATTTGCATAAAGTTTGTTATTCAAGATAAAATGCTTTTTAGGTTAATGCCTTTTGTCGAACCAAGGTCTCGATATGTTGCCCAGTCTGGTCTTGAACTCCTGGCCTCAAGCAATCCTCGATCCTCTAGTCTTGGCCTCCCGAAGTGCTGACATTACAGGTGTTAGCCACTGGGCCTGGCAATGCCTTTCGATTTTAGAAAATTGTGCATGTCTTATTCATTACCAGAGATATATGATATAGACATATTGTTAATTTGTAAAACTTTTCATTATGCAACACTAAGATCCTAGGGGATGAGGAACACAATATATTGAGAAAAAAATTTGCTAAATTGTGTTTTCCTAGTAAGTCTTTCTGAGTAGTATTTTAGGGAAATAGTATCAAACAATTATAATGTAGAAAGGCCAACCATGTGATGTGTTAGAGCAGTGGTTCTTAAACTTGAATGTGATAGGAATCACTTGGAGATTTTCTTAGATACAGATTCTGATTCAGTAGGTCTAGGGTAGGGCCCGACATTTTGCATGTCTAGCAAACTCCCAGATGTTGAGATGCTTCTGGTTCACGGACCATACTTTTGAGTAGCAAGGGGCTAGATTGACTACTTTCCCAGAACACGTTTTGTAAACTGTCATCTTAGTGACTCAAAAAATCCAGTGGTCTGGTATATAGAGGAAGAAGAATGATTTTGTTAGAAGTGCTGATTTACTAATTTGAATCATCTGAAAGATGCCAAAAGATCAGAATTATTCATAGACCCATCATTAATGGAAAGTTAATTGGGAAATGAAGAGTCATTTAAGGCAACTGCAAAATAGTAACACAAATACCTCAGATGACTCGTAGGGCAAAATTTTCAAAATGTTGCAAGCTGTCTGCATGCTTGAAGTAGCAATTTACATGCATAATTAGGTGCAATCAACAGTTTTGAAATGTAATATATTTTCCGAGTCCATATTTACTTATGACAGATGCTAAAAAAAAAAAATCTGTACCCAAAAAATAGAGGGGTAGAAGAAAGGAAAAATATTTGCATTTAACAATATGAGTCTTTAAAAGCACATGCCTAAATTTAGAACAAATTTAGTTGAAGTATTGTATCTTTATTTTGATTTAATCTTCATTTAAGCCTTGAAAGAAGTTCCCAAACACATTTTGGAAGTGGCAGCCGTGGAAGAATAATAACTTACCAGTCAGCTATTCCTGCTCCTTTCTGAACTGACATGTGATTTTTATTTCTACATTGTAGAAGAAAAATCTGTCAAATTCGAACCTTTATTGCACAAAACACTATTAACTTTCTTCCTGTCTTCAGAAGGGGCTTCATTCTCTGAAGGTACCAAATATCTTTTAGAAAATTTAAATGATTATTTAAACTGATAGTTTTTTCTTTGTAAATCCAGGTTTTCAGATGAACGCCAAATGGGAATTAATATCATCTTACTGTTCTCAGTATAACAATGTTTGTTGGTTGCTTACTATGGACACTTACTATGTACTCAGTTAAACGCATTACACATACAATGTAATTTACTATCATAAAAATCTTATAGGAATTGTTGGTTTATTACCATGTACTGGGGAGGAGTGCATAGCTCTATATTTTCTTGGCTGGTACATTACTACATACAGGGTGATAGTATTATTTAAAGGTATAGTGAATTTCAGACTAAAGTGAGTTCACTTTATTTTGAACAAGTTCCCAATTTAGAAAATGAACTTGAAATCTAGTTTTTAGAAAATTTGAAGAAAAAGAGCATGGGCAATTCAGTCTAAACTATTTTCCTTTCCAAAAGCATGTTCACACTGTATTATACAGATTGGCTGTCTATACCCATTAAAGTGGCAATTAATTTGTGTCACATTTACATGCAACGTCAGAGATTAAGATATTGCATTGCAGAATAAAACCTAACGATGTGTTCTTGTGTATTGCATCTATTGGGACGGTGTGTCTTGATATGTAAAAGTTATGTTTAAATTAATGCAAAGCAGACATGAGATGAACAAATGCAATTTTCCAGTTTCATTAGGGAAGTGTTATCTGTGATACTTTATATGTCAGGGAGAAAAAGCCACTCTTTGCTAAGAAATGCATGAATAGTTCATTTATCTGCTGATCCATTTGGGGGCATTATGGAACTCAAAGCCCGGAACAATAGGCTCTATTTAATATTAAACAGGTTCTTAATAACCCGCCATTTCTCGCCATAGCTGCTTGAAGGTCCGTCCTGGACATGCAGAGTTGCAGTAGCAGTTCCCGTGAAGTTGTAAGCTGCTCCCCAGGACCAAGCGGTGTTAAATTTAGAAGTCATTCTGATCACCTGACTAAACGGTGAGCCCCGATTAAGAATTTCCAAGTCTACCCTCGCCATTTCTCTCTATATTTATAGACGCAGCTCACCGCCTGCCCCTGGGGTCACCACCACCAGAGTCTCCTGGAGACCTGCCCTGCTGAGGACGCTCCTCCAGGACAGGAGAACTCGCCACTGGAAAGAGACGGCGCCCAGCTGGCGCCCACCCCGGGGCACGTTGCAGTAAATGCCTGGCAGCGACTTCTCGCTTCTCTCTCCTCCTCCCCCACCGACCCTCTACTGCCGACCTTTGCGCCAAACTCCGGCGCACCGTGAGACTCGCGTCCTCGCTATCCCCTCAGGGCCCCACCCCTTCCCGGTTCTAGCCCGCGATCGGGCCGGAGGCAAGGGTAGGTCGATCTCCTGCCCGGAATTTGCCGTTGGCTTCTCCTTGTCTACTCCGGTTCTCTGATGCAGGGCTGCGCGGTGCGGAGCCGCCAGCGGCGGAGCAGACCCGGGAGCGGAGCTCTGGGAGACACACGCGCACGCCGCGGAGGGACTGAGCCCGACACACGCTCGGCAGCGGGCGGGCGGGCGGGAGGGGGACCAGGGCCAGCGCGGAGGGTCACCTGGGGGTGGGGGTGGGCGCACCAGCCCCTCGCGTGCTCCTCTCTTTCTAGTCCTCGCCGCCACCACCTCGCACAGGTCGGAAAACGCTCCTATTCTTGGCTCCTTTGCGTTGGGGAGGGGGCAAGGGTGAGGGTTGGCGCTTGGTCGGCTGGCAGGGATGGTAGATTTCACTCACACCTGACATTCCCTATTCCTGCCAGTTTCGCCGGGCAAATCCCGGCGATCTGGTTTGTTCTTCAGCAACTTTGTTCAGGAGGTTGGCAGGGAGGGGGACGCCGAGGGGCCCCAGGAGACGCTGGAAAGCGGCGAGGAGACAGGAGGCCGGGCTGGAGAGCAAGTCCCGGAGCAGCTCCGGGGCTGGGCGCGCGGCCGGGAGGCGCCGCTGCCGCCGCCGTGCAGCGAGCGCTCTGCTTGGCCGGACTGCCGGGGGCGCCTGAAGGCCACCGCTCCAAGGACACGCGGCCACCGCTCCTCGCGCTCCCCTGCCCAGACGCCGCGCGCGCCGGAGCCGAGCAGGCGAGCGCAGCTGCGGGGAGCGCGGGCGAAGGGTGGCAGGAGGGAGGGCGCGCGGGAGGGGCCCCTCCTAGGCGAGCCATGCGTGCCGCGAGCAGCTGAGGAGCCGCCGGGCGCCGCTGCCAAGTCTCCGCTCCGCTTTTGTCTTGCCCTCCAGTGAATGGGAAGATGGAGATGGATGTTGAGGGAGTTTCTCCGCGCCCGGAGCCCATCCCCCGCTCCCAGGGGGCTGGCGGAGCCTGCCAGGCGCCGCCACAGCCGCCCCAGCCCCGGCCGCAGCAGCAGCAGCTGGCTCAGGATGAACTGCCCGCCGAGAGTGCAGGCGCTGAGGACAGCGACGATCCCGAGACGAGACCCAACGGCGAGAAAGGAGAGAGCAAGGTAGGTCCACAGTGTTGGCGCTGTGACACCTTTTGAACAAAACCAAGGAGCTCTAGTAGTGGCTGTCACTTTAACTCCTCCGCTCTCCAACCCCCTTCCCTCGTCTGTGTGGGGGTGGGGGTGGCAGATGTGGAGAAGGCGTGGGATTTAAGGGAATCCGTGGGCGACAGTGACTTTCCGAACTGGAAGGCGTGTGCAGAAGTCTGCCCTGGTTTCGGTGTTCAGCGGTGTGTGCAGAGGAAAGTCTTCTGGTACATGCGGCGTGATGCTTAGGGCAGTCACAGCACCTCCGGAGAGCAGTGTTGAGACCTTTGCTTGCCCTCACAGTACAACCGGGGCTCATTTGGATGATACAGGTCTAGGGGAAACATGTCTTCAGGAGCTGCCAAGTGGCTTCTGAGACTCCTTGGAGGGAGGTGACATCAACCTGAAGGATGATAACAATGGGAGCAAAGTTTGACTCATTTGCGGGATGGAGAGCACTGCTTAACCCAGCTCTAAGCTGGAGGTCCTCCTCCTCACCTGGCATCCTCCTGCCTGGGAGAGCAGGGACCAAGTGCCTGGCAGCAGATAAACCCTAAAAATCTTTTGCAGCCCTGCTGTGTCATTGTAGACCAGGGGATAGCTGCTACTTACTGTGGAAAGAGGAGTTCTTCAGGTAATTGGATTCCGGTAAGGAATGGCTCAAATGCCGTTCTCTGGTGCTGATGTTTCTTCTGCTGAGAAAATTGTAAAGTAGAGGAAATGCCATAGAAAAAGATGCCTTGGTAATACTAGTAGGGTGTATTTATTACAGCTTTGCCTCTGGGCAGTCTTCACACACACTTGGAGTTTAGTTTTGTGGAGGTTAGTGTTGTTTTGTATCTGTATAAAGTGTTTATGTGTATTAATACATTTCGAAACTGTCTGCTAATATTGAGGAAAAGTTGGTTCAACAAATCAGAATATTGGAACCAAAGAAGAGTCAATCTACTTTCTCATCTTTGCTCACTTAAGGAGTGTATGGGAAAATAGGCAGGTCTGCTTGTTAGAAATGAATTGTGTCTCATAAAGTGCTCCTCCATGGAGATTGCTGTGGTTTCTGTTGGACCTTCCGTAAGATACTAGTGGATTAAACAAATGCCCAAAATATGTCCAGATCACATTGAATGTTGCTGTTCTGTGTTTGGAGACAGGCTCACTTAACAAGTTTGGATTTGCAAATGTTCAAAATTGTTTTGCATTTTGAAACTGAGCTAAGAATCAAAATTGTTGTTTATCTTCCAAAATCAATATTGTTATTTAAATGGCAGTCTACCAAGGAACTAGAATTTGAACACCCTCTAGACACGACCGGGGTGCCTTACAAATACATACAGGATTTACATTGTGAAAACTATGATGAATTTTAATATCCCGATATCCTCAGCTTTCCAGTCACTCTTGATTTCATGAATATTTAATTCTACCATGACTGCATATTTACTACTTTAAATGAGTGTCTGCGCTCCGTTTTATGAAATAACCATAACTGAGCATCATATTACCTAATTGAACTTTAAGTCTCTTTTGCAAAATAGGTGTGGAGAATAATTAAAATATACAGTCAGTGCTGCTATTTCCATATTGTTGTTTCATATGCCCTGAGCATGAGAAATTCCTGCCATCAGCAAAATTCTGTGCTTATTTGCTTCCTTTTGAAGCACCATGCAGACTGTCTAATGTTCTACCGGTTGTGAGGATTAAAGGTGGCAATGCACTAGAAATATTACAGCAGGTGAAGACAGGACTGAAAGTAGGTTGATTACATTTAGTTAATTAGTATGTTAAGATAATTGAGTATTCCAGTGATGTGATTTGCTTCATGTTTCTCTGCAATTTCTTGAGGTGGAAACAAAATACTACTTTTTTCCTTTTAGGTGTTTGCTTAAAAAAATTACGTTCCCATCCTTCTCCCGGAAATCAGCTGTGTTAACCCTTTGTTTGTCTCCGGTACTCCCCTACTGGTTTTTCTCTGAGTGTGAGGACGGTTTCTGTGTTTCAGACTTTAATAACTGTTTCTGTCTTTGATGCATATGAAGGCAAGTTATAAATCGATTTTTCTTAGCAAATCCTTATTTCACTAGTGGGAAGGCCTTTGAATGTGCTACCAAATTATTCTATTAAAATATAAATGGAAGACAAACTGGGATAAAGTGGAATGTGGTTTTACCAAGCTGTTTGGGGTGAGGTGGGGAGATTATCATAGTAGGGTTTGCAAACAGTAATGTACAAATATAATGTATTGGACTACAAAAGAAGAAAACTCACGTTTTCTTCTCATGAGAGTAATAAAATATAAGTTTTAAAAACTGAATTATTTACCTTAAATCTTTCCCCAAGTAAGTGTACTGTAAATAGGATGTGAGTAGATATGCCCTTTGAAAATAAAGTGTCAGGGGAGTGATGGCGTTTTTTTTTTTTTTTTTGTAAGATTCTGGTTTGGGGCCATGATTTATTCCCTCTTGAATTTACCTCAGTTGTCTTATTGGAAAAGAAATTGGAGCTTAGTGCCAGATCAACTTGTCTCCTAAATCGCAGGTTCACGGTCATATGTCCTCAGAAAGTCTCTGAAATAGGAAGAGAGGTTAGAAAACTGGATCAGTCAAGGAATTTTTATGCCAGAGTTTCATGACATGACATGACATTTCTGTCCTAGAATAATGATGCCTGATTCCTCTCTAGCAACTACTCTTCAAAGAAATGCTAAAGCCACTACATATTATATATACTTCGAGTCCATGAATTGGAGAAGACTCTAAATCGACCATCTATTCCTCCTCGGTGCTTTAAGGCATGTTTATATTAAACCCTTAAAAAAGCAGCCTCCTGTCTTTGTAGTGATATCCAAAGACAGTGTAGTAATCATCTTTGGTGACCTGGTAAGGTACTTCATCGCCTGTTATTTCAAAACGTTCTTCCACATGTCTGAGATGAGGTGCTCTAAACTAGATAAATCTATTTTCTAGTTTTAGGGATGAAGGTTAAATGATCACTGTCCTCGAGTAAGAGACCTTGAAATTCTTGAAAGTGCCCTTGATTCTGTATTTGATTATCCTCAAAACTTTCTTGCAGAATTTTTTGCAGGCCCTAAATATTTTATCCTTTTAGTGCCTTTTAAAACTCTTCTGAAATGCTTTGGTTATACAACATAACTCTTGGATTGGTGTCTCTGAAACTTTCTTTGGAAAAGTTTAAAAGAAAAAAACAAGGTCTTGTATTGAGGACCAGCACTCCAGGATCTTACTCTATATTTATCAAGTTATTTATGCAAGTGCGTAAATTCTTCCCCTGATCTCAGATGAGTGATAGATACGATTCTTTCTTGTTCTCTTCAGGTTCATCTCATGCATATATTCTCCCTTTCTCCTCTTCCCTTGCACCCTGCACCCTCTTCACTGCCCCACTCATTTACCAGGATGATTTATAACCCAGGCGTGAAGTATCATGACCAGACTCTTTTTTTGGTTCAGCTCTTATTAAATCCTTGGTTTGCAAGATGTGTTAGTCTTATGGCTTTGGATTAGAGGTACTTTATCGTTGCTGCCATTGATACATCACTGATAAAAATACTCGATTCTCACTGTAGCTGCATTCCATCAGTAATGCTGTCCTGAACACGCAGTCTTAAGGAGGATGCTGTAGGTAGTCTCTTACCCAACGTGTCCCTTGCGTTTTTTAAAACCTTTTATTTTTGAAGTAATTTTAGATTTATAGAAGAGTTGCAAGGATAAGACAGAGAGTCTGTGTACCCTTTACCCAGCTTTCCCTAATGTTAACATCCTACATCATCATGGCATGTTTATCACAATGAAGAAATGAACATTTGTAAAATATTATTAGCTAACTCGTCCAGTAAATTGTGTTGCATGAATGTGTAACATATAGCTGTTTTCCATTCTAACCTTATCATATTTAAGGTCTTCTTTTTACCTGAAAGGCTCTGTGAGAGGGTATTTACGAGGTCGAATTTAATTTCAGGGTGACTATCTTGTTCTTTTTTTCTGATGGGTAGGAGTGACTTGCAAAGGACAAAGTTTGAGGTCCCTGAAACTCCACATTAACTGCAGTGAGCCCTGGGGGAGTTACAACTTTGGGAAAGCTCTTGAGTGCTGTTAACTTGTGAGGAGTGATAGTTGTCTTTTTTATTTTTTTTTTTTTATTTCAACCTGAAAAACGTTCCTGCCAGGTAAGATAGGGTTTGTCAGTACACAGAGGACAGCAAAGTCTCAAGTGGCAAGCAGAGGAGAAAAGCAATTGATAAAAATCAAGACAGTTCACTTTGATTCCTAACTCCTTGGGTGATTGTTTCTGGCATGAAAAATAATGCAAGCCCTTTTGTTTTTGCTTTGTGTTAGCCGGGTGGACTCTGATTTCTGGCACGGAAGAGGAAACTTGCCTATATTAGAAAGGTTGTCCAAGTGATTAAGAGTATTGACTACAAAGCCAAAAAGACTTGAGTTTGATCTTCGCTCTGTTTGTCACTAGCTCTTGACCTTAGACAAGGTCCTAACCTTTTCAAACCTCAGTCTTTTTATCTGTGAAATAGGAATAATTGTGGTGCAAACCATCCACAGGTGGTTATTGTATGGCTTGAATGAGATAAAACATATAAAGTTTTTAATTCAATGCTTCATAAGTAATGACTGCTCAATAATTGTTAACAATAATAATTTGAGTTAGAGCTCTAGGTCCCCCTAAATTTTCAGTTTGCCAGAAGGTTCTGGTGCTGGAAATGACACAGACACACCACTCTACAGTCAAACCAAGTTGGTGCTCATCGACCTGGTTTTGCCCACGAGCTTAAGATGTTCCTAGGTCTTTCCTGGTGGGCAGAGGTTAGCAAAGAATTATCTCGACGTGCAGACAGTCTGCTTTTCTCTTATCAGGAAAGCCAAGGAGGTCCAGGATGGAAAGTCCCTACATCCCACCCCAGGCCCCAGGCATACAGGATAAGACACTAATAAAGCAAATGA